TGAACTCTGTTTCCAATATTATATTTCAAAACATGATGCCATTAATATGATATACACTATATGTGAATTTGAAATGTACTTTTCTAAAAAATGCCAGGATGTAGCCAACAAAATTTTGTCTGAGAACAGTTCTTGATAAGGACTGGGAAGATAGAAAGTACTAGACTAAAAAAGAAAAAAATATATTTGTACTCTTCAATCAAATATGTAAAAAATAGAATGTTTTTTCTTTACATTGATGTTCATTCTGTACAAGACCCAAGAGTCACTCAATGTAGGGGGGTTACAGAGTAATGGGGACATGTGAGGAAGTTAATGGTTAACCCTAGGCTTGAACAAGTTAAGATTGGAAAACATTCTCCTGGGAGTTGGTTCCACAAAGCACTTGTTTGAGGGGAAAAAGTTGCTCAGGTGGAACTTAAATCTGACCAATGAAATATGAAGGGAAAGAGGGTGGTTTGCTTACAATGTGTGAAACATGGTGGGTCTTAGCTGTGAAGGTTAGAACTGGTGGAATAAATGTAGTTCACCTAAAACACTTTCCATGGGAATAGCAATAAAGCAGCAAGAAGCTTACAACATTTCATCTGTGTAGAGAATAATTCATCACCCACAAGGACGTGGAGACACTTTTGGACTCTCTCGAGACTGGAAAGTGAAGACTGGGAAACTCCTGCTCATATATGTCAGCAGTATTCCATTTTTGGTCTGATCTGGTTCTTGTAGAGGTAGATGATAGGTATGTACTGGAGCAGTACAGTAACCATTTTTCTATCACCTTTAGTGGTGGATCATATGTAGGAGTTCCATTTGAGTTAGTTGAGTGTAAGTCCCAATATGTGCTCAAGGCATGGAGCCTCCCTGAAGGAACATCCATTCATTGCAACAGGTGAAAATTCAATTTTTCTCCCACTGAGCTCTTAGAGTAAGATTAGACCATCTTCCATTTATGGTTTGCTAAAATTTGTTCTTAACAACCTGGTGCATGATGGGTATGGGAACACACACACACATTTTATATATATATATATATATATATATATATAAAAACGATGATGACTGACCACAAGGATAGCTACAAAAAAGGTTATGAATCTTATGGTACCTGTAGAATTTTTATAGTCAATCTCTCAGCATCAGACAGACTTAATCCAATGACAAGAAGAGACAATTGGAGTCTGCCTATGCAGCATATGATTCAAGTAGTCTGAAAGTAAAACATAGGTGCTATCATTAATGCCCAAATCATATCATGATATAAATTCTGCCATTACTTATACTCCAGGATGTTCCCAAATCATCTTCCATCTAAGTATTGACTAGGCTTGACACAGCATAACTTTGGTGATCAAAAAGAAACTGGACCTTCAACATGATACATAAAAAAAATACATCAGCATCTTGTTGAAGGCTTTATCTCAGTAGCATTCCAGATGCCATAGTCTCAGATAATGGTACACAATTCACTGCTTACAAGTTTAAATAATTCTGTAAAATGTTCTCGATTGAACATATTATTATCCCACTCTATTACCCAAAGTCAAATTGACAAGCTGAACAGTTTGTGGGTACTTTTAAGGGAGCTTTGAAAAAAGCAAGTAATAAAAAAGTGAGCGAAGAAACACTATAAAAATTATTGAGAGAATACCAAATAACGCTGAATCCCAACACACTGGCAGGCATATCACCAGCAGAATTAATATTCACAAGAAAATTTAAATTGATGTTCAACAAGTTGTTACTGGGTCAAAAAAAAATAAGAACAGATAACAAAAAGAACACAAAATTTTTCAAAATTGGCAAAAAAATGTTTTGCAGAGTATATAAAAATGGAAAATAAATGTAGGAAAATAGTGTAATAAGATCATGAATTGGAAAAATGATATATATGGGGAAAGGAAAAAAATGGGAACACAAAAGTCATTGGAATCAGTTAAAGAAAAGGTTTACTGAAGAAAGGGCCACAAGAAAGGAAGAACCTATGCAAGTACTGTATGATATTTTCTGATGTACTAACACCCCAACAATCTGTTAAACATACAAGTATGATTACCAAAAAAGGAAATGCATGGAAAAACTAAAGGTTGATCCAAAATGAAAGAAATATAATGTTCATTACGTGGTAGACTTGCCAAAAAGAAGAGGGGTTGAATAGTAAAAAATAAAATAAAATATTTACTCGTGAAAATATCTCAAAAGTGGGGATGTTGTGGAGTAAATAAGACACCCCTGGTAACACAAATGAACCAGGCAAGATGCCTTAAATAAAGAACTCCAAGTGAGTCAAGGACATTTGTTGGAGTGAGCTAAGGAGAATTTCTAATGACATGATGGCAAGTAGCTTAAGTGATGCATAATATTAAAATGGCTAGGAGCAAGTTATAACATTCTCATATCCAAGAATTTAATTTCTTCTTTTCTGATTACTCTCTTTATGGAGATAGCATTGATGACTAAGTAAACTAGTACTTTCATTGAAGAGCCAATGGCATTGACTGCATAGTAATGTTGGAGGAGGACAAGCTTGATTTTGTTGAGACTTTTCTCTCTTTTCATTCTGGTGTCTGAAGTTTTTGGTTCCAATGGTTATGGAATATCACCAGTTGGTACAGTCTTGTGCTTGTGTTTCAAATGATTTAGGCTCATGCCCAGTGACTTTCATTGTTGTTTTGAGTTGGTTCTTGTATCTTAGGAGAGGACATCCCCTAGTCTCTGAAATGAACTCGCTGAATAAGACTAGATGTAAAAACCTTGACTCTTCCATGATTGCTACATGTCCTGACCATCGAAGGCAATGTTTAATGATCAGGGATTCGATGCTTTGACTGTTGGCTTCTTCCAGGACTTTAGTGTTGGTCACATAGTAATTCTATTTGATGTTCAAGATTGAGCAATGCTTTTGCTGGTGAAGTGTTCCAATTTTTGGATATTGCAACAATATAGTCCAGGTTTTGCAACCATATAGCAATGTTGAAATGACAATAGCATCATAGACTATAATTTCTGTTGTTAATTTCAGATCTTCCTAGATGAAGATGCATTTGATTAGATTTCTCAATGCTCTGTATGCAGCTCTAATTCTGTGTTTCACATCCTTTTCTGGGGTGTACTTGTTTGATAAAAGGCTGCCAAGATATAGGAAATGGTCTACTTGTTCTAGAGGTGTATCACAGATGGCAATATCAAAATCTGGTGAGATGATATTTGGGGCTGAGTATGCAAAGACATTGGTTTTCTTGATGTCTACTTGTAGGTCACAGCAAAGTTGTTTACAGACTGTTGGACTTCTCCTTTTGAATGACAGAGGGCACCGTTATCATCAGCATATTGAAGTTCTGAGATTTGTTATGTGGGGGTATGTTACACATTTAGATGGAAGTCTACTAAGACTGAAAAAGCCTCCATCATATTGATATCTGATGTCAACACTTATATATATATATATATATATATATAAACCCAAGTATAGGATTGGTGTAGACGGAATAAATTCCAATAACCGAAAACACTATTCTTAAAAGAGTGCTCAATACAGTGTAGAGTAAATATTTTTTATTCAAAAATTCTAACATAAACATGTTATAACATCATGACAAAAATAGCAATTTTGTTTTAACACTTCTAGTGTCTTATCAAGTAATGGTATTCAACACCATCACGTGATAAGACACCAGAAGTGTTGAAACAAAATTGCTATTTTTGTAGTGATGTTATGACATATTTATGTTATAATTTTTGAATAAATAATTATATATATATATATATATATATATATATATATATATATATATATATAAAAAATAAAGCAGACAACATGAACAGTCTCATGAATATGTGTAAATGCGATATTTGAAAATATAGAAACTGACATGGCATAAAACCAAAAGTCTTTGGGAAGGGCAAAGAAATAACTGGAAGTAATCAGAATTGGACCGTTTATATATAAATATATATCAGAAATCAGGAAAATGATCAAAAATATAGAAGATAATGATTTAAAAACATCCTTAAAAATGAACTTTCCTGTGTCTTCAACCAAATACTCAAAAGCATCTAAGACAACCTCTAAAAAGCATTTTAGGGATGATTTCCATGTTCTCTCTATATATGTGTGTGCGGAGCCTATATATATATAAATATATATATATATACATTCAATTTCACAACTTCAACCAATGAAGAACCAAATGTATATTGTGTGTGTGTGTATATAATTACATTAAGAAAAAATATTCAACAACATTTATTTACTTTTGTTTATTATATAATAATTAGCATTCTCATAGTTTACTTTTCCTTACACAGCTAGCTTTAATAAAACCTTAGAGAATTTTAAATTGAAAGCATAACAATATTTTTCCTCTACTTTATTTCTGTTTATAAATACAATTTACAAAATAAAAATTTCCACATTTACCTTGATGAATTTCTTTTAGGAGACAAAAGTTTTGCAACCAATAAGGAACAAAATGTATATTGTGTGTGTATATATATATATATATATATATATATATATATATAATTACATTAAAAAATATTCAAAATAAAAATTTCCACATTTACCTTGATGAATTTATTTTAGGGGACAAAATGTGTTAGTAAAGTTTTCTTTTCGTCTTTTATTCATACACACACACACATGTTTGAAAGCAAAATAGAGAACCCATCCCAATTGGTGATTTATTACACACACACACACATTATATATATATATATATATATATATATATATATAATTGCAATTAAGTTACAAATTATCCTCCATCCAACTCTGCCTGCAACAACAATAACACTGATCATTGCAGAAGAAATGCAGATGTTTCTTTTATTCTGTTCACAACACCAGATCATTGCTTACAAATTGTACAGGTGATACATTACGACATTTGTTACCCGCCCCGCCCAATTCCGATGCCCATCAAATAGAGAAGAGTAGGAGACAATAGAAGAATGCCTGGGTTGAAGGAGATGCAGCTGCGGGTGCAGCAACTGCCACTTACCCTGTTATGGTATTCAATGGTCACTTGGTGCCACTTCCCATCACTGACTCCTCCAGCAATCTCCGCCTGAACGGTTGTGATGTTTGAACCCAATGAAAAGGAGAACTGAACTTTGGAATTCACCACTTCGAGGGCGATGAAGTCATGCTTTTCATTGTACCTGCCATTGTAGAACAGCAAGCCATTCTTTTCTTGAGTGGTAAAGCTGCAAGTATAAAGAGACAAAAAAGATTAAATTAAATTGACAGCCCAATGACCAGTTTAAATGGAAAAAAAAAGAAAAAAAGTAGAAAGACACCAAAAACACTTCAGGTAAGAAGCAAGATTTTCAAGAGGCATTCATATTCATTTCAGTGATTTCATTTAGTTGAACAGAGTTGAAAAATCTCTTATTTTGTGGTTTTATTAATCAGAATTAGGAAATAGTGGCAAGAGTAAAACAAAGCTGAATGAGTAATTTTACAGTGGTGAAACTGTAAATATAGGAAGATTAAAAAAAAAAAGAAAATATAATTGTCCAGTTTAAACCAAAAAATAACACTTTATATGGCAATCTTCTAGTTTAGCATCCTAAATTATCATTGTTTTTGTGAGGAGAATAATTAATGAGTTTCTGTCTATATCTCTGAGATGAGGTATTATGATTACTTGCATTATTTACATTATTCAGTCTGTTATCTCATCTTCCTTGCCATATTCACAATGTTTCGGCCGTTGTACTTGAAGAAGGCTAGAGTGTACAACAGCTGAAACATTGTGAATATGACAATGAAGATGAGGATAACAGTTCAAATAATGTGAATAATGCAAGTGATTAATGAGTTCCAAGAAAATATTGTTTTGGTTTGGTTTGGTTTGGTTTGGTTTATGGCATATCAACCTCAATGGGTTATTTAATGCCAACAAAATTTTCATTGTTGGTAATATTTTTTTCAAAAAATCTATTTCTGGTAACATTTTTTCCTTCAAAAATCTTTTTCTGGTAAGAATTTTCCTTCACTGGTAATATTTTTTTTTCAAAAAATGTATTGCTAGTAATAATTTTTTTACAAAGTATTTATGGTATTAAAACCTATTTTTACACTTTCATAGTGTTTTGACACAAGTTTGAGGGTTAACTATTTACCCATAGCTGGAACCCCTAACAAGTGCTACCACCCCAGGTCAGGATGAACCTGGGAACATTAGCAATTAAGAGGTGATGCCATGCTCCTCAAAACCTTCTGATCAGAGGCCTTGCTGTTAGACATAGTTTATTGTCTTACCCAGGATGCAGATATAGTTTAACATCATACCCAGGACAGACAAAAAAATATTAATAAAGCTGCAGTCAAAATGTAATATAAACAAAAATAGATACTTAAGATATTTTTCTTTCAACAAATAGTCAAAATTATATTTGGTGCAATTAATTTATTTTTTATTATTATTATTTATTTTTTATTAGCATGTTGGGTTAGGGTTAACTCTAACCAACATGCACACAACTGACAGTTATTCATTGTGCATGTGTGACAGTGAAAGACCATTTAGGTTCCTGTATTTTATGTTCAAATGTTGTGCAGCTAGTAGAAATCAGAAATAAAGAAACAATTTCTGATAAGATTTGAACTTGCATGCCTCATCTCAGGGAAATTGTCTTTTATGGACATTGCCATACTCATATACTCAGATGTTTGCTAATTAAGTGGGGCACAAATCTGCATTGTTTCTGTTACACCCTTTTTTTTCTGATTTTTCACATTTTTGTTGCAATATATACGTTATAATTGTCCCTTGTGTGAAATGTGCTTCACCACTAATGTAGTTTACCAAGCAACAGTGAACAGTATGGGTATACTGAACATTGAGGTGACTGAAAGACCATTGAGGTAAAGGTGCAATAGCCATAAGTTTTGTTTTAATATAAGTGATTAAATGCAAATAAAATTACACAATCTAAATATGATGGGAATTCAAAAAACAGGATAAGGATAGCATGATGATCAGTTGAAATATCTTGAGAAGAGCGTACATATGCAGTGCAAGGTTAGAAAAAGATATGCTCTTCCTAGAGAAGTTGTGCATCATAGAGACTGAGCAGTAAAACAGGCTCCTTAAAAGAATAACTGAAATCATATCAAAGTGTCAACATGGAAATAAACACCCTTTATGTTATTTGCCTACTGACTGATGGTTGATTTAGCGGGACAAATTAATTTGCATCGCATTTTATTCAGAGTTATCAGGTGAGAAATATGATCATGGAATTGTAAAATCAATGCCCAGACATTGTAGATTGCATGAAATTTAATCATGATTTTACTACATATTTTAGTTTATCTTTTGATAGATTTTATTGCACTTTTTCATTATATACATATATAAGGTATAAATGTAGATATAAACCAAATAATTAGATATTAGCAACTGTATATACATGCATTAACATGCCTACACAGATAAGTCAATGTATATTTACTCAATTTAAGGTGTAAACAAAACAGTGCTCAATATGGTTAAAGGAGCTAAGAAGTATATATTAATAAATAAACATATACCTACATTTGTAGTGCAACTTAATGTTTCATGATTTTACCAACTCATTAGGCCTATTACATATATATTTTAACAGCAAAAAAAAAAACAAAAATTACCTCAACACGGGGATAGTCTATTTCAAGCTGGTCTGTATGCAGCTATTATCAGCCTCTAAGTGTCTGTCTCGGAGCATTGTTTTAAATTTATTTTCAATGTCAGTCCTCCTCTGGTAGACACCTTGTTAATGAGAAGGGGCTTGTGTTAGTGACTGGTGGAGGGCATAAGGTATCTTATTTCAGGGGAAATGGTCTGGGGTTGGAGTTTATTTATGGCCAGAGACTTTTGTTGTTTGTAGCTAAATATCGGTTCCTACTATGTGGAGTTTCTTATACAAGCCTGGGATTTCCTGGGATTCACAGTAAATAGTTTTATACTACAAGGGTCCAGTATTATTAATAAGTGATGGGGGATTTAAACTTAAACCTGTTAAGATTAAATAGTTGAATGATAGATTTATAGATTGTGGGTAAGACCAGAGCAGACAATGGAATAAATCATGCTGTCCAACACACTTATATGCATACATAACTTCATATTTACATATATGTACATTTACATATCCATGCATACACCCTAGTATATTTTTTTCCACACCTCCTCCCCTTCTTGACTTCATTGCTGTAGCGGGATAAAGTTGGTGTGCATTGATGAATACTTGTTACCTAGCCTTCTGATGAGAGCTCATAGTTGAAACCAAGGTAGTATGGTTGGATATAGTGTTTTACCTTTTTTGTATTGGCTTGCTCTACACGTTCGCTTTTCTGAGCATTGTATTGAGCACTTTTTATATGTTCATTTATTTCGCCAGAGTAATTTTTCAGACTTCTCACATATATTTTGTGTTATATATATATATATATATATATATATATATTGAAGAAAAAGAAAACTGTTGATGAAACCAACAGACAACTTGCCAAAACCTAAAACTTATCAAACAAAAATGACAATATATATATATATATATATATATATATATATATATATATTTTCTCATGATACATATCTATATAATTTGTGTGTGTGGTGTACAGATAGGAAAAGAGTTATGAATTGTCTATTTGGATTGAAACTTCCACAAGAAGTAATGACCAAATCCCAAATGGAAGATAAAGATTTTTAAATTAAAATACAACCTTGTGTCACATGACTTAGCCAGTGATGTTACACAGACTGTACCATCAACCAACAGACACCAGCTTAATCAATACCGATTCATTATTCATGAGACTTTTTTTAATAAACTGTTGATATTTATATCAAATACATAACACAGTTGGCTGGCTATTTGCTTGTTTTGCTAGGAACAAACCATCTTAATGAAGGGCTCATTGAAGTTTAATAAAAACATCAGCAATCAGAAAATTCCAAATGTAGGGAGTGACACTATTGTAAAATTGTCAGTGGATGGTACTTTGGTAATGGAAAGAGTTGGGTGTTAGTGAGATAGGAGCAGTGCTATTAGCATAAGCTAATGACTAAGATGGCTTCACGTGGTTATTGATCGATTCTAGGACATTCCAGATTAACCATGAAATTGTCAGGGGCAACAATTTGTAGCTAGTGGACTTTATTTGCCAAGTACAAGGGCGAGGTTTGGTGCAAAGAGGAGTGTTCTGGAATGGAGAGAGGGATTAAAAAAATTTCCAATGGAGAAATAAAAGAGAGAAAGAAATGAAATTAATAATGACTGATCATGATTTCTCCTTATTTGTCATTCAATATCTGTATCAGGGCAAGTAGAGACAATTGGTGAGTTTCATAGAAATAATGAGTGTTGTGACATGAGCAGTGCTGTGATGCAAGCAAGGTGTGTTGAGTGCGTGTGCTTTATTTTTTTATATAAACATTTAAGGATGCAAGCTCTTAAGTTGAGGATGACTTAAGACAGTCAAAAGATTGCACCACATTTCTTACAATATTCATCCAAAATGAACTTCAAACAATTTCTGATAAGGATTATTTGTAATTGAGATCATTAAAATTAATTGGCACAAAATATCTGTTGTCATTAATTATATATATATATATATATATATATATATATATATATATATATATATATATATATATATATGTATATATATATATGTATATATGAATACATATATATATATACTTTATACGAAGGTAACATTGCTCCACCTCCTTTTCCTAAGGATATATTTATAGAACTTATGATACTATGTACTAGTTCGGTGGAGTTCAGTTTTGACAATATTATGTATAGTCAAGTGGATGGGGTCCAGATGGGCAGTCCCTTGGCCCTGCATTGATGATATTTTTTTGTGGGCTACCATGAGATGTTACTTTTTGGCAAAGTGTCTAAACCGTTTGTTTACGTTAGATATGTCGATGACACTTTTGCAACTTTCTCTAATGAAAGTGAGGCTGTTGAGTTCTTTAATGAGCTCAACTCCTTACACAATGGTTTGTCTTTCACTATGGAAGGGGAGAAGGACAACTGTCTGCCTTTTTTGGACGTTTTTGTTGAACGCAGTAGGGGTGGTTTTATTACTAGCATCTATCGTAAACCCACCTTTACGGGACTTTATTTGAATTGGCGTTCATTTGCTCCTGCATCAAGGAAAATCAATCTTGTTAAAACCTTGGTGTATAGAGCGC